GTTCAATTAGGTATCTCTGTTAGGGTTTCTCATTTCTTCCTTTGTACATAGCTTATTTTAGTCCAACAGTCTTATTGTTTACATCGTTTATTCCTTCTGCATGTTTCCCACACACAAACAAAAATTCTTTTCACTCAGTCATATTTATACCCCGATCAAGGAAGACCTGACTTCATCCCTGCCCTGTGTCACTCTGGTTGTCATTACCATGCACTGTGCTGTAGAACTTGATAGGTCGGAGGCGCCAAGCTGGTCTTGGCCTCCGTTAGGTAGGGAGACGGGAAGACGCCCGGCGCGCCGCCAGGGTGCCAAAAGTCGGCCGGGGTTTTCAGATCATGAAGCTGTTACCGAACAGATAGGCAATACAGTACAGGGAATAAAGAAATAGTATAGCTGGAGCATGATCTTTGCGTGGAGTTTATTTGAGAGACGGAAAATGTAAGTTTACAGTTCTGAAGCTTTACCAAAGATAGCATATCTGATATTTAGCAAGAGTAATAAAGCATGATTGGACAGATCAAACGCCAGAAATATTAATGTATAGTAAACCATTTGTATTGAGAATTGGGTATATATAATGTAGGAATTGTAAAATGAACTGAGTTTACCTACTCTTTAAGATTCAACTCTGTTGGTTACATTGTTAATGTAACTTCAGTAAGAATACAGTTGCTATGTTCTTGGGCATCAGTGGAGTAAAGACATTATCCTCTTTACATTATGGAGAAAATATGGAGGACAAACACACGTCCACTGAGCCTCTGTATGTAAGAAATATACATAGTAACCTGTAAATAAATCTGTATATATTGTTGAGAATTTTTGGATATATATATATATATATACACTAGTAAGTTTATTCCTTAAGTTGTTGTCTGAATACTTTTATAGTTTGGGTACTTATTCATATGAAATATACATCAAGATTATATACATCATGAATAGCATCTACAGTGTAGTTTATTTTTTAATAAACCTATTTTGGGCTTCACTTTAGTCTCACTGGCTCGAAGTCAGTCATTCTGATGTGGCCCCGTGCGTTTGTGTGTGTTATTCTCGCAGCATTGAGTGATGTGTGTGTGTGTGTGTGTGTGTGTGTGTGTGTGTGTGTGTGTGTGTGTGTGTGTGTGTGTGTGTGTGTGTGTGTGTGTGCGTGCGTGCGTGCGTGCGTGTGTGTGTGTGTGTGTGTGTGTGTGTGTGTGTGTGTGTGTGTGTGTGTGTGTGCGTGCGTGCGTGCGTGCGTGCGTGCGTGTGTGTGTGTGTGTGTGTGTGTGTGTGTGTGTGTGTGTGTGTGTGTGCGTGAGAGAGAGAGAGAGAGAGAGAGTAAGCCCTCATACATGTACTTATAAAAATATTTCCGCATTTGGAAATGTAGTTATGTTACAAACATCGGTAGTCATCGAATCAGCAGGATGCAGCAATTGGCATAAAAGTATCTTGACTATAGTAAGGCATTTGTCATGATTTTTCAACATGCCCTGTTTTGATGGCTTGCCTCTGTTAGAAAGTGCTGCTACAATTCGTGCATAAATGACTACTAATGTTTGCAACGAGTGTACATTGGAACGAGAAGGTCGGTGCATTAATGAAACTGACCTTTGTTTTAGGAACACGAGGCTGTTGATCATAAGCACAAGCTTGATGTTATGAAACAGCAATGAATTAGATTTTTGCAATACTCAGAACAAAAGTTTCCATTTACTTGAGGAATATTAGGAATGATCCAATCTAGGCCTGTAAATATAATTACCTTATACATCTGTGTAGAGTATTTTTATATATTGTATTTGAATATTTAAATAAATGATTGAGCATTAAAATCTGTTTTATTCATATCATAAAAGACGATTTCTCAAAATTCGGAACATATCTAAGAAAATAAATAAATATGTGCACACGTCAGTGTAAATCAAGAATATCGGATCAAGATAGATGTATCCACATGCATGTCTGAACTCATTTTCATTCAATAATATACAGCAGGCGTACTTCTGACGAGCAACGCAAGTAGTCATGGTTAGTTCCGTTTCCCTCATCTTGCCGAATTTATCTGAAGAAAACAGACTGGATGCTGTGAGAGAATTTAGCGACGAGGAAAGTGAAGAAGATAAGGAAATCTGAGTTTCAAAAAAATCCTTTACCTATTATATAGCACACAAGGTTATGGATATCTAGAAAAAGTCCATATATTTTAGGGAAAGTTTAAAAAGACAGTATCTATAAATAACAGAATTAGGTCTTTTAAACTGCGTTTACAATGAAAATAACAATTAAAGGCAAATAAAAATGCTCTCCGAACATCCCAGGATGACCGTAATAGTTATAAGTAGCTCGTATTTATCGTCTAGTGAATAATAATGCCATCAAAATACACCTAGAGAATAGTAATGTTATTAATATACTTCAGCTAATGCTTCTGGTTAGCACAGAAATGACTATATTTTGATCGTTTTATAAGATCATCTATTGGCAACAAAATATATATTATAATAAGCGAATA